TGGTTTTTTTTTTTTGTACTAAGTCTGAAATCCAGTGTGCATTTTACACTTACAGCACATCTGAATTCAGACCCGGCAGGTGTCAAGGGCTCATTAGCCACGTATGGCTGGTGGTGATGAAGCAGACAGAGTGGCTCCGGGTCGGCAAACTGTGGCCCATGAGCGGGTCCGTCCTGCCCTGTTTCTATGCAGCCTCCTGAGCCAAGAATGGTTCTTACATGTTTAAATAGGGGGGAAATCAAAACAAGAATATTTTGTGATATGTAAAAATTATATGAAATTCAAACCTCTGTGTCCATAAATAAAGTTTTATTGGAACACGGCCATGCCCATTTGTCAACACATCATCTCTGACTGCTTTCCACGGCCGAGCTGAGCAGCTGTGACAAAGACCATCCTCCCTGCACAGCTGAAAAGATTCCCTCTCCAACCTTTTACAGAAAAAGTTTGTCGCCCATGCTCTAGAGAGTAGAGCACACCGCCCCCCGCTCCTCCTGACTCTGGATTTCCAGATCCCTCCGTGTGGAGAGATGCCTCACATAGATCCAGACGTTCTGGGGGCCAACCTCCCAGCTGGTCACCATGATTTTGTTGGTGTTTGGTAGCATTTTAATAAACAGGATTTACTTCATTTCACCATGCGGGTTCTGTTTCTTTCATTTAAATCTTTCATTGTAAAGTACTAAGCAAAAAATCCTGAAGGAAAGGCCTTACAGAGAGCCCCCGGGCCCGGGGGGACCCTCAATGGACTGTGACAGCTGCCCTCCTGGCACGAGGCTGGTTAGACTGGGAGAGCAGCAGCCGAGGGAAAGGGCCTCAGTGACCTGGGTCAGGGGGCTGTTTTCCAGCTGTGAGCTGCAAAACAGCTGTGAGCTCCCTCCCTCAATAAATCCAGTCCCTCTGAGCAAGCCCCTGGATGTGCACTATCATGCAATGTCCCTTCACAAGGGTACCACCCCAGAGTGCCTGGCATGGAATCCATCTGAAGGAGCGGTCCGACTGCTCAGGCCCCTCCGCAGGTGAGCGGCCCAGTGGGGCCCGAGTTCCACAGTGCCTCCTGCAGTGGTGCGGCATCCTGCCATCAGCCCTGAGGACACACTTTCACCGTGCTGACACTGACGTACAGAATCCCCTCGTTCCCATAACAAATCAGTAGCTAAGGAGGTGCCCTGGCCAGCTCTGCTCCCTCGCCAGGGAGAGGAAGAAGAGCAGGTGGATGAGGGGAGGTCGTATTCCCTGGACTTGGGCTGGGAGAGCCGGTAGCCGGAGGGGCAACAGAGACGTTCAGGCTGGACGGGCAGGCGGACGAGCCCTCGTCTGCATCCTCAGTGCCACTGTTAGCTGCGTGACATCCGGGACCTCTGCAAGCCTCAGTTTCCTCACCTGTAAAGAGGGGGCATGAACAGCCACCACACAGGGAAACAGTGAGGATTTAGTGAGAGGAAGCACAGACGCTGTGTGGCACATAGCGGTGCTCAGGAAACACAGATTCCCTGTCTCATCTTTCCCCAGCTCCCTGCAAGCAGCGATTCGTGCGGGTAGAATAAAATGGGGCCAGGCCCTAAGATCAAGAGTGTACAGTGTGGAGTTTAACTCACATAAGGACTCAGAACCATGCAGGGCACAGAGTAAAGGTTTTGTATGTGTGTGTGAGCATTATGATGTTGCTGTCATTATTATGATTAAGCCTGGGAAATGCACCAGCCTCCAGAAGAAGTTTATGGAGACGACTCCTGAAGAAGGCTCAGCCTCAGAAAAGAAAAGTCTCTGAGGCCTCCTGACAAGCAGTCCAACACAGCCATGTCCCCGGTGGAAGAGTGGGGGTGCTGCCTCGTGCTGTTTGCGGGGCTGTGAGCTTCCAACACCCGGAACCAGAAATCGGCCTGAAGGACCCATTCTGCATTGCCCTCATTACCAGCTTTTGGACATTTCTAATTAATACAGATGCAAACAGAGTAAATCTGCTGCAAGATTAAGTTAGCAAGCATCACACATCCAGGCAAGAGCAAAGCCATTTCCCCCCACGCAGTTAGGCAAACGGGCAGCTCCCACAACGTGCCAGAGGCTCTGCTGAGAGCTGGGGCCAATGAAGTCCCCGCAAGGATGGGACGCTGTCGCACGCTGCCTGAGGACAGCTTTATTTATGCTCCTGCAGAATGTACAAGCGGGCCTTGTTTTTCTGGACGACTAGGGAGCTGGCTCACACAGCGTTTGTGATTCTACATTTAGAATTGTGTCTTCATTCACATTCTTTCCATGCAGCTCACAGCTCCTGGACTGGGAGAGAGTGGTCACTTTGCCTGGGCCCGTCCTCAGGAAAGATGCCAGCTCTGACTCATGCAAACCCTGAGCTCCTGGCCTAGAGCTTGGGCTGAGACCTCTGGCCGGGTTTTGCACTGGGGTGGTCCATGCCAGTGCACCCGCCATGACTGAACCAGATGTGGGGTCCCTGGCATGGGGCACGTGGAGGCACATTCTGGGAGAAATCAGATTCTGCAGCAGTCAGCTGTGGCCAGGCCAGCTGGATGGGACCCCGGGCCAATCTCTAAGGGCTCCTGCTCCCAAGACAGGCTTTTGCCGGGTCAACTGCATTTTATTGTTCTCTCCCGACCCCTCCTGCTCACGTCATTGAGAAACATCCAGGGGACCGGCCACTGCCCTGCCCCCTGCGTGTTCCCTGGGTCATCCACGCGGGTTCCATTTCTCAATCAGCCGCCTCAAGCAAACACTGCCAGCTCCTGCCGCAGCAAAGCTCACTGCTTCTAGGATCCTAAGCCAGACATGAGGTCACGCTCTCCACCTGTAAAGAATTAAAAGTAAGCTGGGAAGAACAGTGTGAGGAGCCGGAGAAAAGCGCGTTAGGCAAGTTGGGCCTGCTGAATCCTTTCAGCTCACGTGACTTGTGCCCCAAAGCAAAGTCCTCCACAAAATGAGATTTAGTGATGCAGCCTTTCCTAAAATCTGGAACAAAATGACGGGGTCAAACACAGGTAACATACGAACTGGCTATAAATTTGTTTCGATGTGTAACAGGAAGAAAATTTAACTAGAATATCAAACTGACGATTTCACAGGTATTGTTGTTGACCACAAAGCTCTGGGTTTTTTTTTTTAAAAAAAAAAAAGGTCAATTTAAATTCTCTTTACAGAAAAATAATAAGTAAATGATGGTACAGATCGTTGAAGATGTGGCAAAAATCATGAAAAAGAATAACAAATGACTAACATTTGAGAAGCTTTGCAATATGCAGGCATACCCATGCAAACTCATTTGATCTTCAGCCCACAGAGCACGGGCAATCTGTCCATCTTAGAGATGAGTAAACTGAGGCACAGAGAGGTTAAGTGATTTGCTGGTGTCAAAGAGCTAGGAAATGCGAGGGGCCAGGGCTCCAAATCTTATGTTTTGTTTTGGTTTTTTTAATGCTGCCTCACATCTCAAGTTGATTCTGTTCATCTTCCAGGTGGGCTGGTGTTGGTTTTGACAAGTGGGGGAGGTAGGTGAGGAAAATCGAGAGGTTCCCTCTAGGCCTCCCTCCAACCGTCTCTGAGTACCAGCAGGTGTCCCTGCAGGCAGGTCTTACGTTCTCAGGGCAAAAGGCAAGTAGTGAGCCTCTGGGAGGAGGGGCTGGATACTCCCACTGGTTAGGGTCTGACCCTTCCACCTGTGGGACAACGAGGAGCTGTTCTTTCTGACTTGGTTCCAAGTGAAGTGCATAGACCTAGCGAGTTCAAGACTGGAGGTGGTGCCAGGCCCCAAGTTGGGGCTAGGACAGAGGTTGCTGGCCATGAGGGGGCCAAGGGGGCGAGATGGGCAGTTTGCAAACAGATACAGAGATACCATGCAATGCAGACTTCCAGGGACTTGGAGCACCGCACAGAGTGGGGCACACGGAGGAGACCAGGCTCCTCTGCTTTCCCCGTCCACAGGGCATGGGAGCGTGAGAAAGCCCTCTTGGAAAGAAAGAAAAAAACTCTTTCTTTAAATCCTGGCGGTGACAGACTCTCCCAGGGCCAACTTGAGGAGGGTCAGGAGGGCACCCAGGAGCTGGCACAGCACGAACAAAGGCATAAGGCTTGGATGATGTCTGGGGGTCTGCAGGCTGTTTGGAGAGCAGATGACCCCAGACTAAGACAGCAAGCGGCCATTGGGCCAGCGCCTCCCAGAGACAGAAAGAGGAGCTCCCAGAGGCAGACCAAGACCTGTGCGCTGGCCCTTGGACCGTGCAAAGAACTGGGCCTGCCAGGGCCAGGCTCACCAAGGAGCACTTACCTTGCCTCCTCCCTGATTATTTCATATCCTTCTGCCACTCTCACCCTGAAACCCCAGCCTGGCCTTCCCCCAGCCTGCAGCTGGGCATGTTATTTTGCTCCACAAGCACAGCAGCGTACGGCTCCTTACTCGAGGAATGCGGGCTGCGGTCCTCCGAGCGATGATGAAACGGGCTATTTCTGCCCCGGGACATCAGCAGGCCTCCGGGCGCCGGCTCCAAGACACACACTCTCGTGTTTTTAATGCTTCCCTAAACAGATGTTTCCTTCGCACCTTGGGATATTTTTATTTGAATCTAGGTGCTGGACTAGCTTTAGAAATTGCTCTGGATTGAAGCTGGAATCGTGGTTAGGGTCCAGCTGAGCGGCAAACAATTTCTCACTCCCCAAGTTATCTATTACCCGTGGCCGATCTGGATGTAAAAATAGCTGCTGAGGCTGTTTGTTTAATCTGACTGTTACTTGACACCACGCGGGTGTTGCAGTGCGGACTGTTTGCCTCTTCCCCACCAAGAACTCCATTTGGTTTCCCCCGGCTGGGTCTCTATTTAGGTACGCTTCACGAACGTCCAGTGTCTGGCCAGCCTCTGGTCACTGCTGTTCCTCAGGTGGGCAGGTTTGTGAAAAATAAGAGGCCTGGTTCTTGAATCCACTTCCCTCTCGTCTTTGGGCAGCCCAGCTGACGAGGGAAGAAGTTTTGACTGCTGGGCAGAGCCGGGCTGCTGGAAGAGTAGGAGTTCCCTCCTGTGCCTGGGGAGGCTTGAAGAGCAAGCAGCCGGAACGCGGAGAGCGGAAGGTAGGGTGCAGATCCTGGTCTGGTTTCTTAGCGTAGGCAGGCACGGTGGCTCTGGGCTGCGGTGTTGCAGATGTAGTTCGGGGCCAGGGCACCGTGCAGGGCAGCATGAGTGGCGAGGAGCACGTCGGGGGCTGAGGTTCTCAGCGTGCTGGGTGTGCTGTGGGTGCTGGATTGCTGTGTAGACTGCGAGGGGTACGCTGTACAGAGTACATGGTATAGGTGTGCGTGACTTTGTCCTTACATGTGTCTCTCAGGGCACTCTGCTCCCACATGGCTCACCAGACACAAGCCTGTGGATGTGCCCAGGTCTCTGCGTTGCCAAATGGGGACCACCCCATGATCACAGGTTCTACGGCAGGAGACTGGCTACCTGGTGTCCTGCGGCACTGGGCCAGGCAGGACCCTACCAACTGTAACAAAGAGGACAGTTGATCATTTGGACATTGTGGCCATGGACTCTGAGAGCTTGTGTGTCCTCCACATGGAGGCCCCAAGCCTGCATGTCCTCCCACACCCTGAGGGTCTCCCACCAGACTCTGCAGAGTGGGCTTGGTCAAATCTGAAATCACCCCTTTTTTTTCCTCCTGGAAAAGAATTGATCATTGAGAAGAGCACTATTGAATATGTGGAAAGCTAGATAGCCTTAAAAAATTATTCTTTAGGACTTGAAAACACCCCCATGGATGTCGATAGCGGGGGAGACTATGCATGTGGTGGGGCAGGGACTATATGGGAAATCTCTGTACCTTTCACTCAGTTGCTCAGTTTCTCTGTGAACCTAAAACTGCTCTAGAAAATAAAGGCTAGTTTTTAAACTAGTTTTTAAAAAACTAAATTATGGACCATTTCTTTCAACACATCTAAGCCAATTGTAATAAACTCTATTTGAAATAATATTTTTAAAAACCCATAAGAATAGGAATACTGGAGAGTAGACCAAACAAATGTTTGTGCTAAATGAGGTCCAATTTTCTAGCGCTTGAGTTCCCTTTACAACAGGGGCTAGTAAACCACAGCCGTGGGCTGGGCACCTGGTTTTGTAAATAAAGTTTTATTGGCACACGGCCACACTCATTCATTTACATATTGCCTATGGCTACAATGGCCAAGGCCATATGGCTGGCAAAAACAAAAACATTTACTATATGATCCTTTACAGAAAAAGTTTGCTGATCCCTGCTGTACGAGAATGCTCCTTGAAATGGGTCAATTTGGTAGCACACACACACACACACAAAGCAGTGAAAGTTCTAGCTGTTAAAACAGCCTGTGATCAAGACCCTTCAGGACCGATGTCTGGCTCTGGAGCCCCCTGTCCCTCCCCTGGGCCGGTTTTTCCAGTCTGGCTGGAACAGGAAATGTTCAGTTTGCCACTGGGAGGGTTAGCTTTGCTGTGGAGTGTGGCCTGGGCTGAGCAGGGCAGATTGTGCTTATCGGGGTGGTTTATAAATAGACGTCTCTGGGTGACCCAAGTCCAGCATGCGTCTGCCCCTGGGTCTTTGGAAGGGAAACAATTGTGCCTGCTCTCTGGTGACCAGAGCTCACTGCAATGGGAGCAACTGTGCCTTCTGGGAGAACAGGGGGCTGGTGGAATGCTGGGTCCTGGAAACAGAGGGGCTTGGATCCCCTGGAAACCCGGGAGACAGGGGTGTGTGGAGGAGACGGGGATAGCCGGAGAGGGCCTTGTTTCCTCACAGGAAGAATGCACCCGATGTTTCTTCACCAGGATGAGGGCAAGTGTCTGACCTTTTCTGCTTCTCTGCTCCCGACCCTAAGGAAGCCCTAGAGACCCTAACAGAAAAGGGGAAGCCCCACGTCTGGAAATAGCCCTATTCCTCCAGTCATGCCAGAAATCTCAGTAACTGAAACCTGCTGGCCACAGAGCCAAGGCTGAGCCGTCTTCCTCATTGGCTCTCAGGATTTCACTCCATCCACTCAGGGTTAACGGCGAGATGCAGAGCACTTTCAGAGAAGGTGGCCCTCATGGAGACACACGATGCTAACACTTCCCAGCAGGCTGCAGTGGGTCTTGGTTTTGTTTCCATTTGAGGGTTTAAACCACATTTCACCAAATCCAGCCAATCCATAGCCCTATAGCTGAATCCTATGTTTCATTTCGTTAGTTGGGAAAACCCAAAATATCTCTTAGATTCTACTTGATCCCAGGGGTTGCATGACACGAGCTGGTGAGGGTGGACGGAGTGGGGAGGACAGGGGATGGCTCAAGGCACATGGACCAAGACCCACAGATGGAGCTTGTGGAACACAGCTGAAATGTGTCACCCAAACAGAAGTCATCAGTCTGGAACATTCCCTGGAGGGGGCTGCATGTGTGAGTAATGCAGGGCCTCCCACATCAAGGTGGAGGCAGAGCGGGTCCCCAGCTGACCTCGGTTCTCAACGGGAAGACTGAAGACGGCCCCGCGCAAAGTGCATTCCTCTCCCAGCCTGTGGCGATGACCTCAGGGAGCTGGAGACAACAAAGTCGGAGTGTGGGGGAATCTGACAGCAGCAGGGTCCGAAGAGTCAATCAACTACAAATGGCTTTCTCCCTGGACTTGACAGACCTCCCTTTCCTAGTAGGAAGGGGAAAGGGACCCTTCTGGGCCGCACCTGTGACAGTGGGGAGGAGGTCCTGCTCACGTCCTCCATTCTCTATTTGGCCCACACTCAAGGCTCCGGCCCAGAAAGGCCACAAGCACAGGGCAGGCGGCCAGCACAGGAGGGCTTCTGAATCCCATGGAGACGCCCACATATGGCTTCTGCAGGAGCCCAGGGGCTCCTAGGGGCCACTGCAGCCTGGACGCTGCTGCCTGGCCTCAGTTAGTGCCCTCTGTCCCTGAGGGACCCCTTCCAGGGTGGGCTTGAGCTGCTGAGGGACTGCGAGGCTGAGCTGAGGGAGGGATTTCGTCCCTGCCCTCTCCCCTCTGAAAGCTTCACCTGAAGCTTAAGGAAGGCAAGTGGGAGAGGACACTTGGAGATCTGCCTGCTGGCCCAGCGCCTTCCCCCTCCCTGCAGAGTCTGGAGGCCGGTTCCAGGCCCGGCGCCTCTCAACCCCACCTGCGATGGCCAGGTCATGCTGGAGCTGCCCCTTGGCTGGCTTGCCCTGCTCTGGGGCAGGCTGGCCACATGCAGCACTACAGCTCGTCCCCTCACCTGGCCCTGTCTGTCTCTCTCTGAGGCAGGTCAGGCCCAAAGGCCACAGAGGTCAAGGGACCAGCACTCAGACCCAATGGGCTAAACCCACCGGCTCAGAGCTATTTCTCACCCTCAATGTACCCACCATTTTCATCCCCGCAATCACTGGCTGTGTTATTCCCATGTGCAAAGCACTTACATAGATGGTCTGGTTTACTCTCACAGTCATCCAGCACAGTAGGTCTTATGATTCCCTTCCCAGAAGCAGGCACTGCAGCTCAGAGAGGGTAAGTAACTTGTCCCAGGATGCACAGCCAAAGAGGAGGGTGAAATGTAAACTTGGACCTGAATCCAAAGCCCATGTCTTTTCCTCACTGCCCCCCTACACCCAGAGCTCAACATCAGCATCCAAAAGAGTTTCTACAAAGGAGGTCGGTCCACTCACCCAAGAGTCAAAAGCTGCCTTAGAAAGGCCACACGTGCCTAGGCGGGCCGGTCCAGAGCTTCAGAGACTCCGTGCTGCTCCCGGAGGCCTGCTGGAGGTGCTCGGCAGGGCCTTTGGACAGGACAGATCTGGATTCACAGTCAGCTCTGCCTCCCTCACAGGCCCCTGGGCTCAGCCGCCTCCTCTGTAAATGGGAATACCAATAGCACCCGTCTCAAAGGGTCCTGTGAGCGCTAAAGGAGCAAACAGGTGAAAAGCACCAGGCCTGTGATGGAAATGCCAGAATTGCTTTCTCCCCTCAATTATCTCATTTGTCATTTTTCTCTCCTGCTTAAACTCCAACTTGCGTCTTTATTTCCAGAGACTGTGAGAGAGAAATGCCCATGTTTCAGGGTTCAGCCGATTCATGCTCTTTGCTCAGCTGGAGAGCAGCTCACACCACTGAGGACTGACTCCATCCTCATGGTGACCACTGGTCACTCACCCGTCACTATTACCTCCCCTTTCGCGCCAAGGAGGGTCACAGATCTGTGCACCTTTAGCGCTTGGAATGGAGGACCCAGCCGCAGAGGGGAAGTGACATCCCCACCATGGCCATGTGGGCAGCATCCGGGCGCCACAGAGCACCCCGAGCACATCAGCTAGGATGCCCCGCTCTGCCCCACCAGCCCCTCCCGAGGAAGAGAGTGGGTCTAAAACTTGGGGGCACATTTACCTAACTTTAATCTGAACTCCCCAGGCAAGGGCAGGAGTCTAAACTGTAACTGAGCTTGCGGCGGTTCCCCAGAGTGGTTCGGGTGGCTGCCCAGGAGACGCAGACGTTGTTCAGGGGAGTGCCATGCCAGCAGTGGTGCAGCTGGGGGTCAGCCGCCGTCTGCTCCACAACCAGGGAGCCGAGCGTGTGCTACGGCTGAGAAACCAGACAGAGGGCAAACAGGGGAGGTGGCTCCAAGGACGGGGCACCCTCTGGGCAGGCGCTGCCTCGCTTCTCTCTCCCTCTTGAGGAAAGGCAAAGTCATCCTAGGGACCCTCACGCCCCCCGACCCCGGGTTAAGTGGGTTGCATGGTGGGGATGATAGTGATATTTGTTGACAGTTATGAGGTGTCAGCCCCTCACAGACACGAATTCAGCGGTCCTTACAACGACCCCATGAGGCAGGGACTACTATCAGTCTCACTTCACAGATGAGGAAACCAAGGCACAAAGAGGTGTTGTAATTCGCAGAGGGCCACTCACAGCTAGCACAGCCAGGACCCACGCCCAAGGGGGCCTGGCTTCAGTCCATGCACTTTCTGCCATGTTATACTGTCCCCTTCTGGGGACTAGAAATGATGTGAGCCAGCATTTAGTGAGCACCTACTGTGTACCTGTGTGTGAGCTCATTGAACAACCGCGATCCTGTTGGCGGGTGCTGTT